CAGATAGAAAATTATATTTTTTAATCAAGTTTAGTTGATATTCTTCTAATTGTTCTCAATTGCATTGAGTGAAGTAGAATGTTCTGTGAAACACAAGGACCACAGGTATCTCGAACAAAGACCACCGCTTCTTCCTCCATAATTCTAAATGCGAAAGTCCAGCTACAGAAAGTCACGCATCACTTACTAARCACGTGTGCCTGGTTAYCAAGCGGTCGAGTGAATGACGGTCGAGTGAAAGTTYAGCGTTCAAAAAAAATTCGAGAGTTCGCATTCATTTGAAATCAGGTGTAATTTCCTTATCGACATTACGACCTCAAAGGTACTTTTTAACCAAACATTATACCAAGGGTATAATGGGATTTTTATGAAACGCGACATATATATAATAGTTTTGATAAGATTGTCACACATAGACAGRGTGGAGTAAATTGTGGCTTCCGCGGTAATAACCCGATTGACATGTTTACCGARTTTTTATCTGTACATGTGATCAACGAAATTATAAAGAACAAGCTCTAGCTATAATAGTTTCAATTGCCTTGGTTGTCGCTTGAAGCACGAGGAACACGAACTATGTCTTTGGTTAATTAATCGCGTGAATAAAAAAGTTTATTTCATAAAATAATAGTTTTAATTTTTTGGTTGAGTTTCACACTAGTTTATCGTAGCGGCCGAAATAAACGAAAATTCAATTCAAAATAAGGCAAGAAATCACAATATATTTTGCTTTTTTACTCATAGTATAGCTCTCATTTTAGGTCATAGTAGTCTTTTTACTGTAGCTCATTGCAGGTCATTGCAGGTCATTTTAGGTCATTGCGACTTTTAGTAACTACGTTATTCGAGGCCGGCGTCTATTCCGTCGGGGGCGGTGTTTATTAAAAAAAACAATTTATTCAGTACTGTATATCGTACTTTATATTGTATATCTTTCAGCTTGTGCTTCTTGACATTTTCTCGTGTGTTTCAAATGSCAAGCGTGCGTTTATCAGAGTATAAACCAGGACTGAGCCTTATTTATTTGTTGAATAAATTCCCATTGCTGGTATCATTATTTCCTCCAATTTCCTCAGGTGCGGCGTCTATTCTGGGGCGGCGTCTTTTAATATTTGGAGCTTTTAGTGCGGCGTCTATTCGGGGGCAGCGTCTATTCGAGTAAATACGGTAATTACTTTTTAGTATTAGTATTAGGGGCGACTTGTCAGACGTCTAATAATCTATGAACTCGAACCCTGGCCGACTATATTGCACATTTAGTGTACTTCTAAGTGTTTATTGTAATATAAGTATTTTACCAGGTGTCCTGAACGAAACATACACTCAAGAAATGTTGTCCCCGAAATTCTATTATAACATCACAACATATATGAACAATGAATGGATGAAGTCAMACGACGGCAAAACTGTTCAAGACTCTGTCAAGGAATATTTGATAGAATACTTGGGCAAGCCAGTCACCGAGTTGTTAAGGTAATATAAAAATTAGGTAACACCTTATAGCGGAGCTTACTCAAGGATCTACCGTTCGACTTCCATATATGGTTGTGCATGTAGAGTGATCGCACTTAATCCTTTGCAACTGWACAAAATCTAAATGTACTTATTTGTACTAAAGGTGGACTTTAAGCAAGACGGTACTGAATGCTTCATTTGTAGAAACTGTACACACTAAATAGTGCTGTTTAGATGTATTTCGTAAATCGTGCACGCGGTACGCAAATTGAATTGAATTGATACACAAATAAAGCGTTCAATACAGTTTATACAGTTCAATACGTTTATACAGTTGCACGGTTGTACGATCACTCTACAAGGCGCTGATKTACACATAGAGGGCTCTCGTGTCCCAATAGGCCATTTGCACGAAAAGGTCACATGGTACAATATCCACCATGCTGAATGGCAAAATACCCACTGGGATTTTCAAAACAAAGAAAAGTCAAACTTGACGGACTGCGTTCCTTTTTGTTTTTGRGGTTGTTTACATTYTTTYGCCATCCAGTATGGCGGATTTTGTWCCATGTGACCGTTTCATGCAAAAGACCTATTATGTGGAGAACTAAGAATATTTTCAGAGCCATGTGTATATATGGACGCGTTGTTTATAGAACTCGAGTGCGTGTTTTATCGAGATATATAGATTCGAGCCGCACGACTTCTAGAACTCCAACATCCAGAAATTGTTATCATTTTCGAAAAAAGCTAAAAAATGCGACAACAGTGATAATGCTTATAAAAGCATTAATATTCATAAGGTAAAACACAATAGAAATCATAACCAATGAAGAGAGTTGAGTCCTTTGCTAGTGTTGGGTTGCGATAAGCCCTGATGAASTTGAACATCATAATCATATACATCATAACTTATTCTAAAGCCGATCTCCTCCACACTATATACAAAACTGATAACCTAATTAATGAATATTGAAAAAAAATTAATATCGACCTCCAACTCTTACAATGTATCGTAAAAAAGAAAAAGGAAAAACACAGATAAAATATCATTACAGATTTCTATATACAATACTTATTGGGTGCAGCCACATGAAAAGAAGAACTTTACTTGCAGATCGAATAAAGAAGATTATTGATTAATTAACTACTCATATGTTTAAGTTTTAAGTGTATAATCTCTTTATAGTTTAAATAAAAAAAATGTTTAAACTTCTAAATCATGACTGATCACACAGAGCATTACATCACGTTTCACGAAAACAAACATTGGACATACGATAACGATAACTTACAGACACAAGATCTTGTCGACTTGAGTTTCACCTTTTAGTCTATTTGTGTATTTTAATTGTCGCGTTTGGACCACCGTAAGTTAAGAATTTAATGATTAACTATTGGATTGGCTGTGTTATTGCATGACCGGAAGCTCCAAACGTATTATAGATGTACGAATATCGTTAGTAAAAAAACTATTCGTTTACAAATGTRGTATCTGTGATCTCATCGGAATGCATCAGTGTATTTATTTTTTTGGCTTGAGAGGTCAACAATTTGAATTAAAAACGTATTAGATATCATTATATCACTTAGCGACATTTAGTCTACCACGTTTGATTTTATCAGTTCACTGTTGTAAGTTGTTCGCAGGGTATTAATTACATGACCTTTTAGGTCAAATTTAGATTTCTATCGTTCTGAAGTCGTTGCAGAGAGCAGTCAAAAAGAATATTATACGCCATAATTTGCATTCATAATATAATCATATGATTAGACAGAATATAGCATCATAATCTTATTGTGTTTAAAATGTTTCACTCGTTCTCCTATACCCGCATCCATGTATAACCTGTCTTTATCAATTTTCAAAAATAGCTAGTCCGACTTCACGCTCCAAGAGCGTCTAGTTACAATCAGTCCGGAAGTCGCGCTGGACGACCMCGTGCAACACAAACATAACCCAACCCCAGGCTCTCTTYACGCGCTTACACTCCAAAAACCAGTGCTCCATCGACTCAACCTTTCGACACACAGCACACCTATCACTTGTTATATTATGTCCCCATCTTTTTAAATAGTCTAACCTTCGTCGTCACTCCGTGTATCGCTCTCCACCTCACCTCACTCACCTCACAAAAAGCATACTACAACTACTCTCCTTTCTATACTCTACTCCACTCCGCCCCACTAACACTAYCCCTACAATAAATCTCACACCTTGGAGTCACAAACAAAGACTTTTCCAACAACACATACATGCTCTTCACGGTACAATCTGACTTCACTTTCACAATACGCAACGTCGACGCCACATTAGAATTATACTCTGTCAACACATCAGCTTTAGGCAATAAATTAGTACGTATATGTCCAAACCCTTCCACAAGAGCACAAAGTATCGAGCAAAAGCAGACGCCTTACAATTACTACGACATAGCAAAGACACAACATTAGAAACATGCAGAGCCTTAGCCCTTGGTAACTAACAGGTCCCCCTCTTGATGAGTTCCCTCCCATCCCAGAGGAAACCCCACACCAACTTATCAACATCTCTAACACCAATTCCCGGCACATCTAACACTCTCTCCAAATACTCCAACCATTGTTATGCAAATTAAAGTGTATAAAATGCAKTGACCAGCAAGACTCGTCCTCTTCTTYTTTCGTGCTGGCGCACTGAGGTAAGCCAACGTTTCTTCGGTCTTTTGTTTTTGTTTTATAAGGCCGTTATTGTCTCTCAGACTATACTGAGACGTTCTTTTTTCTGTGTTTTATATTTCAAACAGTGTTTTGACGATAAAGTACCGAATAAGACCAGTATGTCCACTTCCACGTGCGTAAACGACCAACATAACGAAGAAGAATCGTTGTTGGAGCCCGAAGGGTTTCCCGACGCTCATTCACAGCATGCATCCGTCGCTCCGTCTGACCATGCAGAATATCTAGATAATCTCAAACATCACCTTGGGATAGATACCATGCGAGAAGCAATAGAGAATTTGACCTCTACTCTTGATAGGAGTACGAGTAAAAGACGCTCGCGGCACGAGGCTGGTTCAGCTCGTAAAAGAAGCCGTGAAGGTGAGGGTTTCGATCCCACCGAAGCTTTAGAGTCGCTTCATTCATCTTCAAGTAGCGAGCAAGGCGTCAGTGACGCGGTCGAGGAGGATGATTTGCCTCCTTCAATATTCGACGAAAATGAGTCGAAGGGTCCAGAGGTGTCTGAGGCTTTGGCTAAGAGAGTCAACGAAGCTTTTACCGTTAAGCCTTTGGAGGGTAAGATGAAATTGTTGATGGACAAGTACAAAACACCCTCAAATTGTGAACTCATGTGTGTTCCAAGAGTAAATACCACGTTGTGGAATGAACTACCAAGAAAAGCACATCAAATTGACCTGGGACTCCAGGAAGCTCAAAAAGCTATTGTTAAGACAGGCCAAATAGTCGTGCAAATAACCGACGATATGCTCAAGGCTAAGAAAAACAAAGAGCATTTAAAGCCATCAAAGTATATTGGCCTGCTCTCAGACGCTATTAATTTTCTCGGACACGCGGGTTTCCAGACGTCTTTAAAGCGAAGAGAGCTCCTGAAACCGGAACTAAGCAAGAATTTTCAATCTCTGTGCTCCGCGACAGTTCCCATAACAAGTCTATTGTTTGGAGACGACCTTTCTAAGTTTGTGGACGATATAACGAAGGCTAACAAAGTCGCTACAAAGATTACACAGTCTACTGAGTCTCGCCGAGGCCGCAACCGTGGTTCTGGGCGCCGTTCTAAGTTCTCTGGTAGCTACAATAATAACTATGGCTATAATTCAGGTTCTCGTTTTTTACGGCACAGAACCTCGTCAACTTGGACGAGGGGACAACAACGAGAGACACAACAAAGGTACAACCGAAGCAAGAACTCATCAAAATCGGAAAACACCCAAGACAAATAAACAATGTGAGTTTAATTTGTAATGTGGGTAATCTAGCTACTAAAGTGAATGAATGGTCTAAAATTACTTCGGATCCTTGGATTCTTGAAACTATTCGGGGCTATCGACTGGAATTTGATTCATGCCCATGGCAAGTGTTTGCACCTATGACTCCAAATCATTCCGAGTCTAATTATCAACTATTAAATGCAGAAGTTGATAAACTTCTTTCAAAAGGTGCGATCGAGCAAGTGTCTCATGTGCCAGGTGAATTCANCTAAGAGAGTCAACGAAGCTTTTACCGTTAAGCGTTTGGAGGGTAAAATGAAATTGTTGATGGACAAGTACAGAACACCCTCRAATTGTGAACTCATGAGTATTCCAAGAGTGAATACCACGTTGTGGAATGAACTACCAAGAAAAGCACATCAAATTGACCTGGGACTCCAGGAAGCTYAAAAAGCTGTTGTTAAATAGTTGTGCAAATAACCGACGATATGCTCAAGGCTAAGAAAAACAAARAGCATTTTTATATTGGCCTGCTCTCAGACGCTATTAATTTTCTCGGACACGCGGKTTTYCAGACTTCTTTAAAGCGAAGAGAGCTCCTGAAATCGGAACTAAGCAAGAATTTTCAACCTGTGCTCCGCGACAGTTCCCATAACAAGCCTATTGTTTGGAGACGACCTTTCTAAGTTTGTGGACGATATAACGAAGGCTAGCAAAGTCACTACAAAGATTACACAATCTACTGAGTCTCGCCGAGTCCACAACCGTGGTTCTGGCCGCCGTTCTAAGTTCTTTGGTAGCTACAATAATAACTATGGCTATAATTCAAGTTCTCGTTTTTTACCTCACAGAACCTCGTCAACTTGGACGAGGGGACAACAACGAGAGTCACAACAACGGCACAACCGAAGCAAGAGCTCATCAAAATCGGAAAACACCCAAGACAAATAAACAATGTGAGTTTMATTTGTAATGTGGGTAATCTAGCTACTAAAGTGAATGAATGGTTTAAAATTACTTCGGATACTTGGATTCTTGAAACTATTCGGGGCTATCGACTGGAATTTGATTCATGCCCATGGCAAACGTTTGCACCTATGACTCTAAATCATTCCGAGTCTAATTATCAACTATTAAATGCAGAAGTTGATAAACTTCTTTCAAAAGGTGCGATCGAGCAAGTTTCTCATGTGCCAGGGAATTCATTTCCTCATTGTTTTTGGTTCCAAAGAAATCCGGAGATTTTAGACCAGTCATTAACTTGAAACCTTTAAATAAGTTTGTGCAACGTATCCGTTTCAAAATGGAGAGCATTGATCTCATTAGTGGCTTGTTGCACCCAGGGGATTATTTAGCCTCGGTTGATCTTAAAGATGCGTATTTTAGCGTAAATATTGATCCTCGTGATCGTAAATAATTAAGGTTTTGTTGGAATTCTATTGTTTACCAGTTCACCTGTTTACCATTTGGCTATAGTTTAGCACCTCGCGTGTTTAGAAAAAATTCTTAAGAGAGTGTACACTTCGTTACGTTTTCAGAACATTCGTGTTATTTATTATATTGATGATAAACTGATAATTGCCAACTCWAGTGATCAATGCTCCCGGCATGCACATGGAGTACGCAATCTATTATCACGTGTCGGTTTCACTGTTAACCAAGYAAAGTMACAACTCATTCTGTCACAACAGAGACAGTTTCTTGGTTTTGTGGTGGATTCTGTTTCAATGACATTGTCATTGCCAGCTGATAAGGTTAGGACTATTATCAGTTCTTGTCAAGATTTATTAGAAAACCGTTGTCCTTCAATTCGCGATATCGCGCTCATGTGACTGGATTGTTAGTTTCAGYCTTTCGAGCTGTGAAATACTTACGTTTATTTTACCGTTYAGTTTAAATATGCAAGTTATGAGGACCAAGCCAGAAAAAAATTCAATGTTTCGCCCATTGTCCCTCCTGCCGTAGACTTGTCTATTGAAAGTGATGCCAGCTTATTTGGCTGGGGTGCCTGGTGGTGCTTGGTCACGTGAGGGAGCCAGTTATCAAATTAATTATCTAGAAACTTTGGCCGCCTTTTTTGCTCTTAAATGCTTTGCGAGTCATGCCAGAGGCAAGCATATTCAGCTAAAACACCACAGCAGTTTTTTATATCAATAACATGGGTGATATACGTTTCCCCGCCCTCAATTCTCTGGCAAGGGCAATTTGAACATGGTGTATTTCCAGGGACATTTGGGTGTCAGCCGTTCATGTACCTGGCGTGACCAATGACATAGCAGATTTCAGGTCACGGCACACTAGTGTTAATACTGAATGGAGCTTACATCCTAATGATTTTGAATGGCTATGTCGCGAACTTTTGAACCTGATATTGATTTATTTGCATCCAGCTAAACTGAATAAATTTGTCTCGTGGTCACCAGACCCGTATGCTTTCGCCTGTGATGCATTTTCCCTTGACTGGAGTAATTTTAGACCATATGCTTTTCCTCCTTTCAGCCAGATCCCAAGAGTGTTAACCTATTTACGATTATACCKTGTTCAGAAGCTCCTTCTTGTGACACCAKTGTGGCCATCACAGGCGTGGTATCCAGCRGTTCTACAAATGCYMATAGATCGTCCAATTCTCCTGCCCAWTTGGTCGAATCTTCTTCAACTTCCGCATTCCGGTCAGCTMCATCCTCTACGCGACCAGCTTCAACTTGCCGTTTGGACTCTGTCAGGAATAGATTGCAAGGTCAGGGAGTTTCTGTGGGGGCAACCAAGGTTATCTGTGAGTCTTGGACCAAGGGGACAAAGAAACAGTACGAACCGACATGGGTCAAATGGGAAAGCTGGTGTGAACGGTCGGTCGATCCTTTTCAAGCACCTATAAACATTTGAATCAGTTGTATGACGAAGGCAAGKCTTATAGCACGATAAATACTTATCGTTCTGCAGTATCAAGTACGGTGGAAGCTGTGACTGGTATCAACGTTGGCTGTCACCATCTAGTGTCYAGATTTATGAAGGGATTCTTTGTTGGTAGGTCTCCACAGCCTAGATACAATACGACTTGGGATGTGCACCAAGTAACAGAGATTATTTAAAGACGTTGTCTCCGCTATCAACTCTCTCACTAAAGGATCTGACTTTGAAGGTGGCTACCCTGGTAGCGTTAGTGTCAGCACAGAGGTGCCAAACTCTTCATCTTCTTAGTTTGCAATTTGAGCGCAATGGATCGAAGCGTCCTAAAAATGGATCGAAACAACTTGGATCGAAACGTCTTTGGATCGGAACGACCGGTATTCCCCTATCCCAACCAGCATTAACAACCTCACACAACACAGGTAACAACAGGTCATTAAAACAACGAAAAAGCCCAACAGACAAACCATCCTCACCCGTCGCCTTCCCTAACGACATACCAACCAAAGCCCCGTTCAACTCGTCCACAGACAACATCTCCTCAAAATTCTGCCTCTCCTCATCACTTAACACCCTCTCAACCTTCTCCAACAAATCATCCTGCACGCCCACATCGACCTCTTCCTTCGTAAACAAATCCCTATAAAACCCCTCAACGACATACAAMATCTCATCCTATTCCTACCTTTACACCTCCCCTTACTGCACAAAAAACTCCTTAATCTCCTCCTTCAACCTCGGCCACACATCCCACCAGTCCTCTTCATCATCCAACGCCCCAAGCCCCTCAACCAACTACACCCTTCATCSCTCCAYAAACCTCTTATCCTTCAAAACCCCTTGTTAAACTTCCCCCCACCCAGCGCAACAAAATGACACATTGTAGCATCATGATCCGGAAATCCCAAAGGCTCCACATACACGGACGAAACATACGACACAATACCCTTGACACATAAATGCGATCTAAACGCGACCCAACCCCGCACCCCGCCAACACCGAAACCCTCCCATGAAATTTAACCCACAGGTCTCAAAAATTCCCTTAACTCTAATTTCCAGCAAGCACGACACGAGAAACAGGAAAAACATACTGATGCAAACCACGAAAAAACTCTTTACGTACTTCACACCATCCGGGGCATACACACACACCAAAGAAWCGTGCGCTCTATTCGACCCCACTAATACGCTCACAACTCTACCCTCCGCATCTCTCCTCAAATTCCTAACCTTCAAACCACACCTGTCGTTCAACAAATTCCYAACCCGCGTACTTCTCWACAACTCCCTCCGATGTCTTGACCATAACAGCGTTATCTCCAAGAACTTTAACGGCTTTGAGTTTCAAATTAGTGTTGGAGTTTTTTAGCCGTTTAAAACACTCGAGATCGTGTTTTATCAGGTATATTCGGCTCGAATCTTTATACCTGATAAAACACCCTCCCTCGTGTTTTAAACTATACATAAAGGCTCATCATGTGACGTAAAAGTTCGATGCTCATTGAACTAATAGATCATGAATTATTAATGAGTTCTAGAAATCCGTATATGGAAGTCGTACGACAGGGTCTACTCGAGTCTTTCAGCCTTGGTGTACAACCGGTCGCAGTATCTTCTGCTTTCAGCTAAATTCTGTCMTTCTCATTGAAAGCTGTTGATCTTGCCAGAGTTTTCAACATGTTATCTTGTATCTAGAGGATGTGATGATATCCCAGTTAATCATTGTGTAATGGTGTGACTTTGTAATACGATCCCGCAAGGGTGTATTTTTATTGTAGTAAAAGAACACAACACGAGACTCCTTGTCAGTCTCCCTTGAGACGAAGTTAGACAACGATACAGAGTACAGACGAAYGGAAAAATTGAATCTATTTGTTGAAATCATAAATATTTGCAGATCAAAAGGAGCAGCAATACCTGATGTTTTCTTTCAAAACCCAATGGGTTATAGAAACATAGAATGATCCTTACAATAGTGCACGCTGTATGTATCGATTCYATCAGTAGCACTGGCATCTTAACTTGCTCGGGAGCTAATTTCTCTGTCAATTACACCAAAGATACATCCAAGAAGATCATTTACCTCACTGCGTCAACAGTTCAGTGTCGAGCGGTCTTGCTAGTCTACCTCTGAAGTTCGTGTACACTAACGGAGTGAAGAATACATCATGGCCAACAGACCCCACTCTACCAGGGACAGATCAAATACTTGATGGCAAGAAGTCCTATGCGCAAATACTACCGTATTTTACTACCAACGAAGCCACCCCGACTGAGGTACATCAGCTGGGATATGACATGCTAGCTATTCTATATCCTCAGGTAAAGTCTTTTCTTGTGAAAGACGCTTCGGCAGAAGGGTCGTCGTTATCACATATTCAGTATTAGTGTTACTTATCATGTTGAAGGTGTGGCACGCACACGTAAACAGCTTACACCGCCCCAGCTACCGACGTTTCCAAGGATATGTGTAGCTGCAACAGATTACCATTTATCAGCAACGGCAAACTTTAATGACGTAAAGGTTTGATTTAACATCATTGCCWTTTTTCAGGCAGTTCAGGTTGCAAAAGAAGTAACAAATATCACCGACAATGCCACTGCCATAAAAACATTTCGCCAAAAACTCCATTCTCAAGACATGTATTTCAATAAAGATCCTATTCCAGCTAACGAAATGGGTGAAGAGGCATTTAAAAGATGCAGCAATATAATAGATGCCGAGAAGAACTGCCCAAAACGATGGGAAGCCCTACAGAAATGGTTTAAGGAAGCTAGAATGGTAAGTCCTGAATACAACCCTGTAGAAATCGGTCTATATAATAAAAAATGAACCTGATTGTAAAGTTGGTAGTAAATTGATCATTAGTTGTTTAGACAGAAGAATTACTAACGTTTCGGACTTTAGTCCGTTATCAGAGTAAATTGATCAATGTAATGACAACTATAGTAGAAGAAACAGCTTAGGAAATAAACAATACACCTGAATAAATGAATCAGCGTGGCCTAAACGGTAGTGCCTTTGATTTCCGATCCAGCGTGCCCAGGTTCAGATCCAAGATGACCCATATGTCTTTGATTTCTTTATTCAGCCAACAAGGCTATATTGCTCTAAGATCAATGATGTTTCGGCCCTCTATAGTTCAGTGCAGTGCAGTGCTGCAATTGTCTTTTTTTGTCTATAACTGGGTGATTGATTTGCGACCAGGCCTGCATATGAATTCGCCAADGTTGTAAGCCRGTKAGCCCGTGCATTTTTGTTAAGCGGTCATATTTGAAAGTGTAAATAAGGGAAAGGGAAAACCCGCAGCTCTCCTTTCACTCAGACAAACAGTACAAGTCGTGTTAAATTTATTTACAAAACTAAACAAAATGATTATAGAATTAAACCTTTAAGAATTGAATGCTCATATGAAACATTTTCCACCTTAAATACACACGTGTTTTTCAGAAGGGAATTTAGTCGAACTTTTTTCACGATGGAATTTTGTTTTGAGTCGTTTCGACATAAACAGTCGCTATCAAGACATTACACGAAAAAACCCAGTCACCGTTCTAGCTCTAGTTGTAAGGTCAGAGCTAGTAAATGTGTAACTGGCCTGTTACATAACGTCAAATCGTCGAGCACGCTTGCGGCAT